GTCGCTGAAGACCCCCAAAAGCCTTTCTCTCAGCTACTTCCATTCCATCCCCAGCTAATCAAAAACCTACTGCAGCCCCCAGCTGCATCAGGTGATTAATGACCTCCGGAGGCGGTGGGGCTATTTTGGGTCCTGGAAGTCATGCCTGCAGTGATTGAGAGCTGGCCCTGCCTGGCTCCAGCCATCTGTCACTGGAGACAAGCCCAAGCAGGGGGCTTCAGGGGATACATGCTCCCCAAGAGACTCGCAAGCATGGCTCTCACTTGGCCCCAACTCTTCCCAAAGGTACATGGCAAAAAGTGGTCTCAGGCCCTGACTGTACTCCAGGGTCTCAGCAGAACCTCATGTACGGAGGCAAGGAACTACAGATCCCGGAATGCCACGGGCCAGGCTGTGTCAGTTTCCTTGAGGCCAGATGAGAAAGACTTCCAGGTTCTGTGGGCCCAGGCAGCCCTGAGGAAACCTAAGTGGAGGTGTGCACAAATCTCAACAGCACCATATAAAATCCACAACTCACGCATCATAAGTCCCACAAACTTCATGCCAACGTACAACTTCATGAAAGCCTTATCAGTCTACTGACTCAGTCAACCTAACTCCAAAGCACATAACCCTGGCAACCCCAGGGGGCGCGGTCCCAGGATGCATGGCCTTTGGAGACACGCAACTTGGTAGGTAATACACAACCCCATTAACACAGACTCCCAGAGACAAAGCAGTGACGATCTGTGGCACCCGGTTCCATCCGTCTGGTCAGGCGTGAACTCACCAGGGAGCTCAGCTTGCTCTAGCTTCAGTTTCCCCCTTTATTATTATTTTTTGACACTGATAGGTTATTGTAAGACACCCCACAAAACCCAAGTAATGGAATACAGGGAGAGCTGTTCCTTTCCCCAGCTCAGTGGCGAGCTTCCTCCCATCCCTGCGCCCTGCCCTTTGGAGTCTTCACCCTCCAGTGAGCAGCCCTATCCTCTCCAATGCTGTGAGCCACGATGCCTCTTTCTTTCCTCTTATCCTGCTGTTTCGTGAGTGATCCTTATCCCTGCTTCACTGTCAGAGATCTCGTCCTTACCCCGATTATGTGCGAGCCCCTGTTCCTTCGGATCCCCTCTCTCCACCTCTGTAAGACTCCAATCCCGAGCCACTCGTTTTTAGAGGGGTCCTGCCCCTCCCTTCCCTGCCTCATACCTGGCGACAGCGACCCAGTCACCAGCTGGTAGAGGGATCGAGCTGCCTGCCCCAGCGGGCTCCGGCACCTGCGGGGGCAGCGGTTCATGGCCTGGCTCGGAGCGCTTTGCCCAAGCTCCGCCCCCGAGGGCCCCGGCTGAGGGGCGGTGCCGCCCCCTTTGGAGTGGGCGGTGCGAGAGGGCAAGACTGGCAGGCGGCGAGTCCCAGACCGGAGCCTCTCATCTATCTGCAGGTCGCTGGCCTCACAAGGGTACCTTGCCCAGGTCGTCATAAGCACTCTGCACCCACCCCCGAAGCGCTTAGAGAAGGGGGCGTGGCAGGGGCAGGGCGTTCTCTCCTCACCGCTTTCTCTCCAAACGTCTTCTGGATTTCTGGTAAGGAAAACAGGTACACACGAATTTTGAAAGAAAAGCGGGATGACTGACTGATGACTTATTTTTATTTTAGATTAGGTCTTGTCTGGCACTTGCTACATGGTTCAGGCTGGCCTCGAACTTGTGGCAATCCTGTTTCGTGTTCTCAAGTGCTGGGATTACAGATGTGAACCACTACACCAGGCAGATCTTATTTATCGTTTATTGCTCCATTTCAACCCCTCCTCTGGCTGTTTCTCCCACCCCCACCTCCCATATTAGCACAGGGACGCTACAGGGGTGAGAGGACACAGTTGTCATGGCAACTCTCCACACTTGCTGGGCCAATGGGAGAGAAAGCAGGAGGGGGGAGAAGGGACGGTGTATTAGCGTGGTGAAGAGGCGGCAGGGCTGTGTGCCTAGTGCTGCCTCCTGGCTCCACAGCCCTCCCAGAACCATGTCTGGTACTGTCTTCCGAGTCTTCCTCCTAAAACCTCGGCCATCACAGGCTGGCTCCCGGGCAAATGCAACGAGTAAAAGCCCCTCGGCCGCCGGCCTCCGTCTAAACCCCTTTCCAGGACTCATCGCCGTCGTTAAAACCCGAGGTACATCCCTCCAGCACTAACGCTTCAGGCTGCTGGGAAGGCCACAGGGGATGCATGGTCCAGTTCTGCCCGCGGTGTGGGAGGGCTAGGGAGGGAGCCTGCATGTAAGGGGGCAACTACCCCCAAACGCCGCACTGTCAACCCGACCCCGCGGGTAACAGTGCCCCCAGGATCAGCTTCGGACGGAGGGCTCTCCCGCCACACGGGGGCGCTGCACACCCAGGAACGATACTTCATCGCCAAAGGAACAAGACTCCGGAGATCCCGGACCCAGGCCCGGGGGCTGGCCGGTCCGGACCCAGCGCTCTGCTCAGTGTAACGACCCCCTCTCTGCCTCTGTTCAGATGGGGGCGCTGCTGAGCGCGGGTGGCAGCCTTTCCCCACTGTGATGCACTGCCAAGCCGCCCCACAGGGCAAGTTAGACAGGAAGAATGAAGGAGGAGCTCTCGGATCACATCCTACTCTACCCCGACTAAAAAACTATCTTTCCCAACTTGTTTTGGGCTCAGAGCAAAATTGGGACAGCCAGGGCGTATCTGAGATGCTCTGAGGCATAACTTCAAGGCCACTTCGCTGCCAGCCTGATGAGCCAAGATGACAGAGACCTCTGCCTCCGCCTCCACCCCAAATCCGACTGAGGCATCCTGCCTGCGCAGGGAAGCGGAGGGCGGGAGCACACTTCAGCACCGTGGACAACGACTCCCCTTTGGGATCCAGTCAGCGGCTCCAGTCACAAGATAAGCCACTCTACAAATGTGAGGTCCTGGTAGTCTTTTTTCCTACTTCTCAAGTCACACGCGGAGCTTTCTACAGCGAGGATGCTGACGCTCGATCATGATTATACGTGCCGGACCTTCTTATTTCCTTTGGGAGGCTGTCAGCAGCCAGGAGGATGCATACAGTAGAATTCCCTATTTTACAGGTGAGGACCATGAGGCCCAAACACTAAAAGCCACATAATCGGCATCCTTCCATTCCTGACTGTGACGAAGTAGTGCACTTTCAAACAGAAGTGCCTCTCCACCCTTGCCAAATCCTGCCACACTACCGAATCAGATCGTATAACAGGAAAGCAGGACACACACTGTGATTCTAGGACGTTGGGAGGCTGGGGCAGGAGAGCTTGAAGTTTGGGGCCAGCCTGAGCTACATAGTGAATTCAAGGCCAGGACTCTGTAGCAAAACACCATCTCACAATAAATTAATTCAAATCAATCCATCAAGTAGCCTGGCAAGGGGGCGATCATGTCACTGAAGGGGAGATTCAGGGTAGGAGGCAAACGGACTGAGCATGTGAGTCAGGGCTCTGGGGCCCGCCCTTACTGCTTTCAAGGACCCGAAGTTGCTAGTGGGTACAGAGTAGGACTGGATAGCAGGGCCTCTGGAGTCCACATGGTGAACATTCTTCCTCCTGGGGGTCTCGACATTGCAACTAGTGTCTTCCCAGAGTCAGTCAGAGGCAGAGACCTACTCCCAAAATGCGATATCCTGGTCCCCTTCGCTGCTGCCCAGGTCTAACCCTACTCCATCAAGGAAGGGCAAAGTTTATGGTCTTCCCCACCTGCCCGGCTTTGTTTCAGTCTCCGGAGGGACAGCCTCCTCCTACTCTTGGTTGGATTTCTTCGGGAGACTGCACCGTGAGACACACAAAGCACATGTATGTGGAAACATACAAAGATAACAAAGTCGTTCACATAAACACAGGTCTATCTACCAAACTCAGGACTCTACCAGGACACAGATGTACCTGATCTCACAGACCCTCCCAAAGTGGGCAGCAAAGGGATTTGGGGTGGGGGGCCTGCGGGCAGCCGAATGCACTTCATAGGCCCGTAACTCCTTCCCCTGGCACTGGAGGAAAGCGAGAAAACGAGGGTTGGGTGAGGCTGGAAAAGGGCTGTTGGGGATAAAGGAGCTGTGTGTGTCCACGCGTCTGAGTGACTCCGGGTAGGAACTGACCCAGCACTAACCAAGGCTCTCTACAGCTCAGGTGCTGGAACCATAGGGTGCTTCTGCAAGCCAGGCTGCTTGGGTGGTAGGTTCTTAGGGCCCCTTGTGTCCTTGATATGTGCAGAAAAGTAGAGGGAGCTAGTGTGGGACACTAGAGACCCTCACCAGCACCAGGAAGGCAGGCAACGAGGACAGAAATGCCATTAACACTCACCGAGCGCCCACTACAGGCATCAAGCATGGTAGTAGACAGCACCAAGCGCTCAAACAACCCACAGCCACACAGCCACAACCACACTTTTAATGAATGTTCATCCCAGAAGTCTTATAAAGAGACACACCGACGTAAGATGACACCCTGATGCACTCTGGTAGTTACAGGCTACTTCATACAGAATCATTCAAAGCACAAAGTTGAACATGCAAAAGACACACGGTCAAAACTTGACGAGTGCAGCCAGGGTCCTACGCAACCACACTCGAACAGCTGGCAAGACCAGGGAATCGCACTGCCTCATGGAATCACACTCACCCTAGCTGTCACCCAAGCTCAGGGCACATGGCAACTAGCTGTGGGAGGCGCACATACATACATACACAGACACACAGGAACGGCAGGTGCTCACGCACGTAACACCTCCCACTCCAGACACACTCCTAGCCTGGTGTCACACACGCCTACACCTGCTGCCTCTCCACACCTGCCTCACCTGCTCTTCCTCCCCCGCGCCCCCCAAAGGGAGCCTAAGCTTTGAATGCCAGGTCTTGCCGCCCAGACCAGCCTGGAGGGTGCATGTGAATGGGGCAGAGTGTGGGTAGGGGCCCAGCCAGGGGCAGAGAGGCGGAAGGGAGTAGGGGCATGGAGTCCGCCCACCCGCCCAGGACCCCTGAGCCACCGACTCACCCGTAAGCTGGTCGTAGGAACCGTCCAGATCTCGGGATTCGGACAAACTCTCCTTCCGGCCTTGGCCCCGCATGGCCCCCGGCGCCCCGCTCCCGCCTGGGCCGTGGGAGGGGGCGCCGGGTGGCCGGGATAGGGCGCTCACACGGCGCCCCCTGGCGGCGCAGCGACCTGCCGGGGCTGGGGGCCCGGAGGAGGGGCTGACAGGGCTTTCGTCTGGGAACTCACAGGGGTTTCGGGCCCTCCCCGGGGTCCTGGGGCAGGAGCCGGAGGCTTGGGCCGCAAGATAGCGTGGAGCGGGAGGCAGAGTGGAGCTGGGAGCCGAGCCGGAGCCCAGCCGCCTCTCCTCCGCCCCCTCCCCGCGGCTGTCACCGCCGCCTCCCCCCTTAGGAGCTGCCGGGATTGGCTCCCCCTACCCCCGCCCCCCACCCTCGGCAGCTCGGAGGAGGCACCCGGTGAAAGGGTGAACTGGAAAGTGCCGGGAGGGAGACTAGCTCTCCAGCTACACCACCCACTGAACTGCGGGGCTTGCGGAGGAGGGGGCCAGAAAGGCCCCCCTGTGAGGAGTCCCCGCCCCAATTCTCAGGCACCCCTTCCCCCACAGCCAGTCGGCCCTGCTCGGTAGGGCCAGAGCCTAGGGGGTATGTATGTCTGAGTGACTCCCTGTTCCCTCTTGTCTTCACGGCAGCCTTATTTTCTCAGTTGTTCCTCCGCCGCCGCGTTGTGTGTTCCCCACCAGCGGCCACCCTCCTCCTGCGTTATTGGGATTCGAAGCCAGCCTGGCCTCTGGACACGGGCTCACGGGGGCATCGGGCACATTTGACTCTCTCAAGTTCCAGCAGGGGCCTCACTTTCTGAATGCCCTCTTCCCTGATCTGATGACCCCCACCCCCACCCCCCAGCCAACCGGGAAGGTAAAGAAAGCGGCTAACCGGGTCACAAGTCTTCATCGCCCCAGCCTTCCTTTTTCTCTCAACTTTCCTGCCTTTCTCTAGCCACCTGCTGTCCTAGGCCTTTTGTTTTCCAGCAGATTTCAGGAGCTTCTGAAAGGTTTGGGTACCCAGGTGAGGATACAGAGGAGAAAGGAGATGCCTCACTCAAGAAGCCACCTCCTTTTCTGAAGGCAGGACCAGCACTGCACAGGCCCCTTCCATCCCAGGCGCCTCGTCCAGGAATGGCCAGCTGAGACCAAAAGTCTCAGCTAAAGTACCTCAATACATTGAGTCTTTTCGATCCGATTTCCTTTCCAAACATTGGAGTCAGTGAACTGTGGTGGGCATTCCTGTATGAAGCTGAGACAGGCAGCTGCTGTATGGAGGCCTGCCTTTGGAGGAACACTCTCAGAAACCTTCAGAGAGCTGTCAAGAGGACCAGCCATGCTGATTTCTAGGAGAAGATGTGGACTCCAGGTCTTAGGTGGACACAAAGGAAGTGGCCAAGAAGTAGGTTTTTAAAATGGGGAGAGACAGGGCAGGCAAGGAGCGCTTTCTCAGGGCTCCTCGTCCGACTGGCCCTTGTTCCTCTAGAGGAAAGGCTGGCAGAAACCCAAAAGGCACCCAAGAGACCTGCTCATAACACTTCTCTCTTCTCCACCCAGAGGCGAAGGCGGCCATAGTCTCTGAACCCAGCGGGTCTCCGTCAGGTCCAGGAGATCAGAGTGGGCAAATCTTAAGGACCAGCACCTGGGTCAACGTAACGGGATGAAGGGGAAAGATACTCAGGAGACTGCCCCACACAAATCAATTTTTAATAGCTTTGATTTGCCACCAGCTCCAGCTGCTCTGGGGTTTATCACCATGGAAAACACTAAAAACCTCCGGCCAAGTTATCCATCTAGTGACCAGTGATCAGCGATGACCCAGCCCACAGTGCTTATGATTCTACATCTATGCACGTCAGTCTGTTGACCGATTCTCTAGAACCAGCACACTTCTGCTCAGTCAGAACTTGGGCTTCCAGGGAGGGCAATCATCCCAAAGAGATGGACACTAAACTAAACAGGAGCAGAGCCCTGACCTACGCTCAGCCTCCCTCGGACCCTCACTGGCGGCATGCCCCCCCCCCATCCACAAAGCTTTAGACCGGGGGTGGGGAGACCTTAGAGCAGCAGCTATCTCTGGGGCAGCTGTGGGGAAGGGGAAGGCCTACAGGAGTTCCACGGAGACTATAAAAAGGCAGACCGCACAGGCCAACTTCGTGAAGGGTGAATGTGCCCAAGGCCCAGCTAGAATATGGGTAGACAAGATGGAGGCCTTAGGCATGAAGCTCACCTAGCCTGTTCCAGGAACAGCTCCCTAACTCCAGCAGGATCTCCCCCTCCCAGCACCAGACCACAGCAGGAACAGATTCCTCCCTAGAGGAAATTCTTAGGCAGGCTGAATGTAAACAACAGCAGGGTGAGGGGTGGAACACGTGGAGGGTGCTCAGCTAGGCTCCCATTGGAGAGGGTGGGTGGGGAGGGAACCAGCAAAACAGGCACCTTGAGGGCTCCAGAAAACCTGTCAATGTTTATTTCACACACACTCTTTTAAGACAGTTTAAACCAGACTACAAATGAAAGGCTAAAGTTGTGGGCCTGTGTGCTAAAGAGTCCACGGCTGGAAGGCGAGGGGAAGTGGACAGGCAGGTGCTCCTGGTGCCCAAACCAAACCCCAGAAAGTCGAGGTGGGACAGCACAGCACCAGGCAGACTCCAACCTCCGATTTCTCTGAGGCGTCAACTTTGAATTTAGAAAACCGAACAGAAAGGCGCCAATCCCTGACCTACTCTATGCCTGGGCAGAGGTGCTAAGGTCTGGACACACTGCAGCAGGGGCCGGGGCCGGGGCCTCGCTCTGCTCCAGGCCCAAAAGGGAAACAGGATGTGGCATCATAGCCAAGAACAGCCACTGGCCTTCAGAGTGTCGGCATCGGCTGAGGCCTGCCCCCCCAGCACCTGAATAATCAGAAGCCACAGCTTGGAATCTCAATTGGATCATGAGGCAGTATCCAGTGAGTGCGCCCAGAAGCCTCCGACTGTTGGATGCCTTTTCTGTTGCCCGCCCGTTTCTCCCCAAATAAGATCATCCTGGGCTTGCCCCAGCTGTCCCAGCTCACTGAAGCATGGCCTTCACCAGGACTCTGGGTGCCTGGCTTCTCTCCAACCTTGCAGGCAGTCCCCGCTCCCTGTGCTTGCCCTCAGCCCCGGAGCCTCATGGGTAAGGGCAGTCAGCGGCTCTCAGGCAGTGCAGCATCAGGAGATGGTGGAGAACTCCTTCAGGAGGGCTTCCTGGCTGAGTGTGTGGAAGGCCAGGTTCCTCCGGACGTTGGTACTAATGGATCGGACCTGGGGAGGGTGGGGAGGTGGAAGGGCAGAGCAGAGGGAACAGTCCATTACAGACAGCAGAGTGCACTGGGCCAAGATGAAGTCTTCACCGTGCTGGCAGGAGAAGGCCCATGTAGAAGGGCTGTGAGAGCCAGACTCCCAACTCTAGGCAGCCTTATGGGGAATTTAGCAGCCTCTGCAAGGAGGCTTGTCCATGGGAAGAGGTGTGAGCTCTGTGAGGGACAAACCCAGCAGGGAGGAAAGAATGTGCTGCTTGCCCTAGTCCTGGAGGCCAGGGGCTTTTCTTTGTTTCTGCTTCACTCTGAGCATCAGGCAGGAAGCAGAGGAAGGGCAGCGGGGCCACCACCAGGCAGAGCCTGTCGTTAGCTCCTAGGTGGACCAGAGGCACAGCCGGAGAGGGAAAGCAGAGGTGGTGCCCAAGAGCCTCAAAAGGCAGCTCCCGCCGTGACCCCGGCATTTGGGAGGCTGAGGCAGGAGGACCACTGCAAGTCCCAGGCTAGTCTAGGCTACATAGTGAGATACTGTACTGAAGAGGGGAGAGGGAGAGATCCTCTAATTCTCCTTTACAACCTCTCCACAACCTAAAGACGGTCTCTTACTTGTGGCTGGTGCCCAGTAGTTCTCCACAGTAATGTTAAGATCACCACTCATCTCATTAAAACACTGGACCTTCTCTCGCTTTGCACAAAGATGGCTTTCTTGTTCACAACTAACTCGCCACAGAAAAATCCTAAGGCGTTTCATGTCTGGGTTAGAGTTAGCTGTGATGATCTGTGATGATCTGTGATGATCTGACATCAGCAGCTTCGCCACAGACTTGGTGCGTGACGTAAAAGCTTTGCTGATGAAAGCCTGGGAAGTGGGTTCAGAGCCTGGTATCATGCCTGTTACCGCCAGGGTGTGTGTCAACCAAGCAGCAGCGCACTACAGGGAAGCAGAGCTTTTCCTGGAGCAGCTGAGACAGAACAGGGGGAGAAACCAGAGAGGAGAGGCCAGCTTGAAGCCATGCCTGGGGGCGGCTGGGTGGTTGGGAGATGGGAGTGGGCACAGAGAGTGAAAACTGGGGAGCCACAGTGGGGGCTCTCAGGCCAAGAACCAGTTAGGGAGTGAGGAAGGAGTGGCCGCAGGAGGAGGGTCAGTTACTCTCACTGTTGTTCTGAGGACAGGAAAGTAGTGGCACACCATGGCTGCCACCGGCAGCACGTGCCAGACCGCAGGCCCAGCTGCAGCTGTGCGAGGCTGTCCGTCTCTGGCTGCAGAGGAGGTGGGCAAGGCTGGCAAGGCTGGCTTGGGAATAACTGCCTCTCACTGCCTCATTCCAAAATCCTTTGGGAGAGAAGTTGCATACAACCCCGCCCCCCAGATTTATTAGTCTCTAGAAAACTGCTGCTGCACCCTAGATACACAGAGACCGCAGTGTCTAGAACTGGGCCCCCTTGAGACACAGGCAGAGCCCGGGGTGGGGCACTCACCAGCTCTTTGAAGAAGGCAGCTTCCTTGTGTTGCTCGGAGTAGCGCTCATACTGGTCCAGGCCATCTTGTAGCTTCAATGTGAGTGTGTCGTAGTTGGCTCGGACCACCTCTAGTACCTGAGGAAAGTCAAGGGCCGAGCAGGGTCTCAGTCCCTGACAAGAAGGCAGGATGGCAGGGAGCAATTCTTCTGGCTTATGAGGTCTCCCCCTACCCCTCTTTCTTTTTGAGATAGGGTCTCATGTAGCTGAGGCTGGACTTGAACTCTTCATCCTTTGGTCCCTGCCTCCCAAGCGCTGAGATTATAGGCATGCACCACCACACCCAGCTCCTGGGACCACTTTTGAACCTCTTCCATTCCCTGCCTTTCCTGACCAGCCCAGCCTGGACACCAAGGCTGTGTACCCTGGGTATGGTCATCAGTGTCCCTAATACCGCCATGCACTCTCAGCCCCTGTGTGAGGCCTCTTCTAGCCAGGCTGTCCCAGGTGCTGAGTAACACTTTCTGCCAACGTCTTACTGCTTCTCCTTTTCTGGAAACCACATTTCTCCAGTCCTGGG